GGGGGGGGGGGTCTTTGGCCGCATTGCTGGGGCTGCCGGCAGCATCCGCTGCCTGCCCTGCCTGGCTGTGCTCTGCGGGCAGGGGCTGTTCCGGACACCTGGGTCACCCCACTGATGCTGCCCTGAGCCAGGCACGATCCCATTGGCAGGGCAGGAGTGAACTGCAGGAAATTATTCCCCCCCCCAGTGCTGAGTCAGTGAAATGAAAACGAGCATTTTACCTTACGGGAAGAAGTGAAGCTAATTTAAAATGCAACAGTGGTTAAAAGGGATCTGCCTCTCCTGATGCTATCTTGGTAATATCTTTACCGGCACACTTGAATGAAAACCCAGAGCAGGTTTGGGGGAGCAGCTGGAGGATCTGGGAGCACGGTGCTCTGTGCCCCATGTGTGCCACAGGACCCAGCCATGGTGGAGCACCCCAGCACGGCCCATGCGGCTCCATGAGCTCCAGCCTCCCATCACCCAGGGGTGCTTTGATTTTGTTTAGGGGGAATTTCTGGACATGCGGCGTATTGCATGATGTCAGCCAAGGCAGAGCATTCCACGGCTGCTCACTGACAACCTTCAGGAGGCGGCTGGTGCCTTGGGGCCATGGACAGCTGGGGAAACTGAGGCACTCCTGGAAAATCAAACCCTCTTTTCCTTTTTTCTTGTGGCCTGGGTGCTGTGGTGTTTCGAAGCTCTACTGATCCGGCTGTTGACTTGCTGAAGCTGTTACCCAAGGTGTGCAGCCAAGGGTTTGCAAACCAGCTCTGGATCTGGGAATTTATGAGAAGCTAATGGAAATTCATGGAAAGAACAGAGAAACCCCAGAAGGGCCCTGAAGTTCCCAGCAAGCCGAAGGGAGTCCTGGAGAGCAACAAAAGTTCCCAGAAAGCCCTGAAAACCTCCTAGACAGGCTCCAGTCCCTGGAAATTGCTGGGGAATTCATAGAAAATGGGGAAATTCATAGCAGGGTCCTAAAACCTTGTAGAGACTCCCCGGTGCTACCAAGACTAAGAGTTTCAGGTGTCTGCAGCCTGCTCCCCACCCCAGGCCAACTCCAGCTCCTCACCCTGCACCCGCAGCCCTTGCCCAGAGGAATATTTTGGCAGGACGGGAGGACTCACAGTTGGCCAGAGAAGAACAGCTTCCCAGCACAGAGGAGGAGCCCCAGAAGTTTGGGCTTTTATATTCCCACTCCATGGAGCCACTTGGGAAGCCTGTCCTCAGCTCCAGCTGCTTCTCCAGAGGACAGACCACCCTCCTCTTTCCCCAGAGATATCTTTGCTGATCCAGGCAAAAACACAGCCGAGAGTCCCCAGAAGTAATGGTGCAATTACCAAAGTAATTAATTCTGGCTGCTGTGCAAATCCTGCCCAGTTAATGTCAACAGTGAGGGGAGGGGGGCAGGGGCAGTGCTTGGGTCCTGCCTTAATTAAACTTTCCCCGGCCAGCCAGAGATGACTGCGGAGATGTTTTTGTTATCGCTTGTATTCCCAGAAAATAAATGCCTCCCGCTGTCGGGAATATCCCTTCATCCCCTGTGATGTGTGGAGGCTCCACACGCAGGACCAGGGTGGTGGAGTGAGGTGAGAGCGAGGATGGAAAAGCAACTGGGTCCTCCACAGCCACTTGGGCTTTGTGGTCCCTGTCCCCGTCTGAAAAGTTCCACTGCGGGGACAGGGTGGAGGGGATGTGGCTGGCAGCACCTCAAGGGGCGCACTGCAGGGATGTGCTGGGCTGGGACTGGGGAAAAGGGGACCTGGTACCCACTGTTGGTTCAGAGAAAACTCAAGGTACGAGAAAATTATGGGGGAGGTGATGGGGGGGTGTGGATGGAGGAGGAGGAGGTGGGAGAAGACTGAGGCATGGCTGGGGCTGGCCTCAGTGGAGGAATATTCCTGTTTTTCACCCTCTTTTGCTCCCTGCTCTCTGTTGCATGAAGGGGTTGGATGCTTCATGAGGTTTGTTTGGTTTTGTTTAAGTGTATCATTTTTTAAAGGGATTTTTAAGGCAGGATCGGGGGGACCAAGCATCTCTCTGGGAGGTGGGGGGCATCGGGGTGCAAGGGTGCCCGTCCCCAGTTCTGCCTCCTCCTCACAGGTGGTTTGTGCAGCCTCACAACACCACATTAAAATGCAAATTTGTCCCTGCCTGCTGGGAGCAGATAGTAAAACGCTAAACAGGAAAGAGGCAGCGGAGAATAAACAGAGGGCAGCGCGAGAGGGAGCTGGAATAGAGGCTTCTTTTTAATTATTTTTCCTCTTTCTTTTTCCTTCACTGAGATTTGGCTGTTTGGTGGGGGGTTGTTTAACGGGATCTGAAGCAATAAAGGGGGAAGATGCCAGTTTCAGACTAGCTGGGTGCTGGGGTGCAGGCGGCCAGTGGCCTGTCCCAGTGGGTGCCACCAGCCCCCCGGGCGAGGGTGGCTGCAGCCTAAATCGCACCATCTCCAACTGCTGTCTTGGGTCTTGGGGTTTGGGATTTTTTTTTTTTATTCCATGTCCCAGTTGATCGTTCCTGATGGGAAAAAAAAAATAAAGTTGCAGTAGTAGGCGTGACGAGGATCAGCTGGGGAAGGGACCAGGCACAGTCAGACTCCACCGGAGCCTTCACAGTGTTTCCATTTTCCTGGGGTTTGTCCCCAGTGGTTGGACTACACATATACATCCTTTATATATATATATAAAATATATATATAAAATATATATGCACACACACACACATTAGATATGCATATATACATATGTATGAAGTATAAATATATACATATGTATGAATTATAAATATATACATATTTCTATATCAATAAATAGCTATACAGCTCTACAGAAGATTTTGGTGTGTTCATTCAAAAGCAAAGCCACCCTAAGCAGGTCTCTCACCCTCCCCACTGCCCCTCACCCAGCGCTGCACCGTCCCCACCCGCTGCGGGGACGCAGCACCAGGCTGGGGGTGCCTGGGTGGCAGGAGCCAGAGGCAGGACACGGGCTGGGGGGGGG